AGGTTGCTGAAGAGTTGCTGAAGGATTGCTGAAGGTTACAAAATCTTTCACATTTCAGGAGGATTTGAGGCAAAATCAGACAATTAAAATCATCAGTAAAAATAATACTAACAATAAAACTGCAAAATGAACAGAACTGAGATCAGTAACTTTACAATTACGATTTAAATAATAGTTGATCTTTATATTTTGTTTTGATGATTCAGCAGGAGAGTTTCATATGTGGTGGAATAATAAGATAATAATCTGTCGCCCTCTGGTGGAACCAAGCTGAACTGCATGAGAGTGGATTACAGAGCAGCAACAAAAAGACATTGTGAAACAATCATGTGAATAAATTGTGTGAAATATATAAATAAACCAACCAATATTTTGTGAAAAAATTAAATAAATGATTAAAACTCATAACTGACATTTGTTTTTAGTAGTTTAGTTTCAATAAATACTTCAGTTATTTCACTAAATATAGTTTCCTTGATATATTTTACACAATTTCTTCTTGTAGTTATTCACTTCATATGTATTCCTTTAGAGGTTTGATACACAAAATACAATATTTGATCTCCACCCCATAGTTACCAGTGGCAGTGGCTGTAGTATCTGGAAAGGGTTAAAAGATTAATGTAAATATAAATTTAAATGTATAAAAAATAGGGTTGTGGAGTTGATAAGAAAAAAAAAATGCAAATGTGTAATTATCTAAACTCACAGCATATTGACTCTTTGCAGCTATAAATATTTTGCTATGACCAGCCTCTACTGGTTGAAACCCAGCTATTGCAATTGAATTTCACTATTAAACTTTATAATGTGCTTTTTGCCCATCGGAGTGCCCAAGGGCTCTATTTTAGGTCCTCTTTAGCATTTTTTGGAGCTGATGTTCAAATGTACGCAGATGATACAGGGCTATATCAATATATTACTGAATATTACTTACATTGCTAACTCTCTTTAGCTCTGCAGGAATTTGCTCAGAAACCAAAGTATTGGACATTAAAATGTTGACCTGATGATGGCGCTAGAGGACAAAATCAAATACCTGCAGAACTAAAGACCTTCCCATCATCCTCAGCTGGACTGTTTACTGCTCATCTGCTGCTCTATGATTGGCTGAGGATGAGGGAAGCTGTCTGTGATTGGCTGAGGATGAGGCATTGCTGCCTGTGATTGCTTGAGGATGAGGCATTGCTGTCCTGTGATTCCGGCCCTGAGGATGACACTGATGCTAGGAGCATGCTGTCCTGTAGATTGGCTGAGGATGAGGCATGCTTGTCCTGTGATTGGCTGAGGATGAGGCATGCTCGTAATGCTTGTGAGGCTGTCCTGATGGCTGAGGATGAGGGACATGTCCTGTGATTTGGCTGAGGATGAGGGAAGCTGTCCTGTGATTGGCTGAGGATGAGGGAAGCTGTCCTGTGATCTGGCTGAGATGAGGGAAGCTGTCCTGTGCATTGGCTGGCAGGATGAGGGAAGCTGTCCTGTGATCTGCTGAGGAATGAGGAAGCTGTCCTGTGATGGCTGGGGATGAGGAGCTGTCCTGTGATTGGCTGAGGATGAGGGAAGCGTGTCCTAGTGATTATGGCTGTGGATGAGGGAGCAGCGGAAGCTGTCCTGTGATTGGCTGTCTGCAGAGAAACACGGCAAACTGCTGACTTATTGATCATTCTGCTGACAGTGTGAACACACAGTGAAGTTTGTAGTGACGTGATTATTATAGACAATAATCAATACTAAATCAATAATGGTGTAGTAGTGTGTGGATAGAGTGGCAGTTTGTGGGTGCTGTTGTCCTGATTAATAATCACCAATCAGAGATCAAAGATAGATATCAGTGTGATGTTGGACCCGGTGTTTGTCCCTCCCAGGCTCCTGTACAGTCGATGGTTGTTACCTGACACCTGTAATTACAGCTGATTGGTTGGCACAGGTGGTGAGCTCGGCCAATCGGGAACCAGAGTTCATATTTCACACGATGATCGAACTGATCAGTGTTGTCACAACAGCTGTGAATTCAGTTATTGATCAGTTGTTGCGTAACATTATGTTGTGATTGGCTGAGCCAACAAGCTTAAACAATACTTTAATAAAATAAGCACAAAATGGCCGTCGATGACGTTAAAGAACTGCTTTTTACTTACTGAGGTAAATTTAAAATAGAGCAGTGTATTAACTACTGTACTAACTGATTAATAACTTAAATATAAATAACATAAAGGATAAAACTGCATTAATGGTATACTTAACAGTTTAATAATTCAATTAATTCAGTTGGTATTTTACAATCTGCAGAGGCTGCTGTCATTAAGACTCGTTGTATAAGGTCTTTACAGCTGTGCGTCCCATCTCCGGGTCCAGGGACACACAGCCACCGCCAGATGTGTGATGTGGTCACACAGGTGGTGGATCATCCTTTCAACTGTTTCCACACGTCTTCGCCTCTTTCCCACTTTAAACCTCTATTTGACGTTCTGCCCGCTGTTATTTATAAAGCACAAAACTTCCCTCAGGACACAAACAGAGCAGCACCGTACTCCTTATAACACTTTACAGTGAAGACCTCCGCGCTGTCTTTACACTGTTTGTGACGATGCTCCTCTTCCTCAGCAGGCGTCGCAGTGCCAACTCTTTCAGCACTTCACCAGAGAACACAGAGGCCCCTTCAGGAGTGTGTGCGGAGGTTCGAGTCCCCTCAACAGCTCTTCATGTGTTCGTAAGTATCATCCAAAATAAACATCATAAAAGAGTTCCCATAATGCATCGCTCTTGGTCTCGTACAGAACCAGGTGGGTTCAACAGGAAACTCTATCAGTATAACCTCATTGGTCAATGATGAGCAGTAAAAGGTCTGATTACCCACAGTCCTCTCCTGCTGCCCTCTGGCTCCCAGCAGCCCTTGCTCTCTGCTCCCATCATGCTCTAGTGGTGCAGTGGTGGTCCCAGCAGCTGCTGACAGACAGGATGTGACATCACAGCGTGGGCCTGTACAGAGCTCCTGCAGGCCCACAGTGATTGACATCCCACAGAACCAATCAGCACGGAGCGTCAGGCTGAGGGGGCGGGGCCTGAGTGCTGATCTCACTCTTCTACTGAGACTGTACAGTTGCCTGTTTTTATTTCAAACAGGAAGTGTGTGTTAGGCTCTAATGTGTGTGTGTGTGTGTGTGTCCTCCAGCACACCCTCACAGGTCACAGCGGGAAGGTGCTGTCAGCTCGCTTCCTATTGGACAACGCTCGCATCGTCTCTGGGAGCTACGACCGAACTCTCAAACTGTGGGACCTCCGCAGCAAAGTCTGTACGTCCCTGGACTCTGTTTACTGGTTCCCATAGCAACCAGGGACGAGTACTGTACTGTTCATGTGTTGGTACATTGTGACATCACTGCTGTGACATCACTGCTGTCCCACCTGTGCAGGTATGAAGACGGTGTTTGCTGGTTCCAGCTGTAACGACATTGTGTGCACGGAGCAGTGCGTCATGAGCGGACACTTTGATAAGAAAGTTCGATTCTGGGACATCAGGTCAGTGAGTCCGATTGATTGATTGATTGATTGATTGATTGATTGATTGATTGATTGATTATCTGTTGTCACTCATCCCAACGATGTGTTCACACCAAATGCAAAGTGAATTTATGCCTCGTGTTATTTGTGGAATATTGTCCCTTTAATCTGGGTTGGGGTTATTTTGATCAGATTTTAATGTCACTAAACGAATCAATAACGATGTCATGATGACGATTTGTAAAAAGTCTGAAATCTGTCCGTCTGTCTGCGAGACGACAAGCTTTTAAAATGTTCTGTGAATAGAGTGGATCAGAACTAGCTGGGTTCTGTCCGGTTGAGGAGAGTCGCTAATGTGTGTGTGTGTGTGTGTCTGTCAGAGCGGAGAGTATAGTCCAGGAGCTGGAGCTGCTCGGCAGAGTCACGTCTCTGGACCTGAACCACGACCGCACCGAGCTGCTCACCTGCTCCAGAGACGACCTGGTGAAGATCATCGACCTGCGCACCAACACTGTCAAACAGACCTTCAGGTGAGTTCATCCTTAGACCTCCAGAACCCTTGATCAATAACAGTAATGATCCTTGATATCTAATAACTGTGTGTGTGTGTGTGTGTGTATGTTCAGCGCTCAGGGCTTCAAGTGTGGAGCCGACTGGACCAGAGTCACCTTCAGGTGGGTTTTTTTTTCCATCTGACTGAGTACAGGTGGGGGACCTAATCACAAGTGGGTAGCTCTTAGTAACACAGATCTTTCCCACACCCCTGGAAAACTTGGAAGTTTAGACACTAGTTTTCCAGTTCTGGAAACACCTGGAACTGGATTAAAATGACCCAATAATCAATAATCAATAATTATTAGGGAGAGGGAGACAGACAGCAACAACTACACTAATACACTAATGAACATGAAGAAGATGATGACGACAGCAGCAACGATGGGGGACAGTGAGCAGCGACAACAGCAACAACAGTAACTGTAGCAATAATAATACTTAATTAAAGCTGCAAGCAGCATTGGGCGGGACCTCGCACTCCACGCGACTCGGGGTTTGCTGCGGCCGCGTCACGACCGCTTCATGTCATCATGTGTTTCAGACACTGTCCAAAAGACTCGGGCGTTCATAGAGAGACTCTTCAGTGCGAAAGGTGGAAATTCAGTGCCACGCCACGGACACACAGTTTGA